CTGTTGCATTCTGCTTCTCTTAATCAACTTTTGTGTTACGTGCATTTGCTCAGGGAGTACTTGGAATCAAGGTGAAGATCATGCTCGACTGGGATCCCAAAGGAAAGCAAGGTCCGACTACTCCTCTTCCAGATCTTGTCACAATTCATCCTCCAAAGGAAGAAGAGTACATCAGGCCAGCAGTGCTGCCAACTGAAGTTGAGATTCAAGCATAGAGCATTATATTTGAAATCTTCTTCAATATCAGGGTCTATTATTCTTCTCTTGAATGCGTGTTTTTGATCTTTGATAGATGCGTACTTAAGAAGACCTGTTTGACTTGACCAATTTCAGATTTATAACAGCAAGTTTTGTTAAGCTTTTTGTAGAATGATGATGTTTGCTTCATTTTAAGTAATATGGATGGATTATGTTTGCCTTTTAGTATAATAATAGTTAATCTATTTTATTCAAGTGCTTCCATGTTCTTCTCATGTGTTTTCCGGGTCCATACTATTGTGACTTGTACATGCTTAAATGGTTTTGATCACAAGGAGCAGCTCTCCTGTGAGCGGTTTGCAAGCCTCCTATGTCATTGCTGACTGATATCTGCTGGTTTTTAGCTTGTTAGTATTTGTAATTCATTAAAATGATTTAAAATTTATAGTTTTCCCTTTAATAGCTCGAGTAAATTTATCTGTTTTCATATATATATATTACGTGCGTGGTCTTTGTTTTTCGAGCTTTATTGTATGTGAGAGTATAAAGGATATAAGAAAGCACATAATTGTGCAAGTCTTGAGCACCCTCCGTGTAAAGTTATACGAGGTTTGCTTCTAATCAAGGTCTTTAGCATGTAAGGAATCTCTCACACACATTTTTTATGTAGAGATACTACATTGAATTATATGTAATTTTAATGGTGTTATAATTTCTTATAATTTGCCTTAGCTTTCATTGCTCTCTACTTCGTATCTTTCCATTTGACCATTTGGCTGGAGTTCACTTTATAGACTCATTCACAACTTATTAACTGATTAGTTTCGAGGTTTATGAATCGAATTACAAGTATTATTCCTAACAAGAGTTGCATACTGAATTGGTTTGCAAGGAGGGACATACGAGGAGGCGAATTTTTAAGGTTGGTTTGCAATTCCAGCTTTGTAAGTATATTATTGTAATTATTTTCTTTTTGCCCGTAACTTTATTTATTAGTTATATTATTATTTTTGTGGAATTTGTAGTAGAGGTTCTAAATCTTTCCAACCTTTTTGAGTACTTACAGATTTGATATGTGAACGGTTTTCATCGAAAAAAAAAAATTGATAGTTGATCAGAATTCCAGAATTTTATCATAATTTGACTATATTTAAAAGGGACAAAAAGAAAAAGAAATTTCATCAGCCTCCCCAACCCCACCACCTTCCCCACCCATTCGCCTTTCTTCACCATTTTTACAAGGATAATTGGAGCAAAAGCTTCGTACAATTCTGTCAGTTGATCAAAAGTTTAATTTTGACCACATTGTTAATATTTTAGAAATGGGCAAAAGAGTAACTTTTTATTTATCACATTAAATAATTAAATCCACACAGACCATCGTTTCCTCCCCTACTACCAACCACATGCTATCGACCGACAAAAAAGCATGGCATTGGAATGGTAAAAAATGGCAGCTAAGAAGATACAGAAGTGGGAATTGTGTGGAGGGAGAAGGAAATTAATGAGAAAATTATTGCTCGAAGAAGGGTAGAATTTGAGAACATATGGATACAAGAAAATGATTTGATTTTTTCAGTTCAAATTTGAGTTCGTCAGGCCGGAGAACTTTCTTCATTTGATTCGGAGTTTTGGGGGGTTCAAATGAAGTCAATAATTTCTTGTTTTTCTGCACCGAAACTTAAGCCTGTAAAAACAAGTGCAGGGGTTGAAAATCACATATTGCAAAACCAAAATGAGGAGTTTCTGTGCCAAAAAAAAAAATAATAATAAAGGAAAATAAAGTGGATGATAATTTGATCAAAATTGAAATCTAGGGCCATGAAGATTTATGCCAATTTAAACGAGGTGAATCAGCCTCTTTTCCTTGGAGCTCGCCTGACAAATTTTATCAACTCCCTATTTGTGAATTCGAAGAAAACGAAGAAATCTAATCCAAATGAAGGCTTAGAGGTGGAGGTAAGGGTGGGGATGGGTGAGGGGTAAGAGGAAGAAGACGATTGTATGTGTGAGTGTATTTTTTTTTTTTTTTCTTATTTTTTAATTTAATTATTTAATGTGATAAATGAAAAGTTACTATTTTGCCCTTTTTTAAAATATTAAAAATGTTATCAAAGTTAAATTTTTGGAAAACTGACAGAATTGTAAATGGAAACAATCCGAAATGGCTTCACCTGCAATGTTTGGAAAGGTTAAGGGTGACGGTTACAATAAATTAAAGTTTTAGGAAAAGCTTGCTAGTGTTTCAACAGTTTGGAGCTTTTGCTGCTGTTATTCCTTTTTTATATCTCCCCCTCTTTCTCTCTTTGCCTTTTCTTCCTGGTCCTCCCCTCTCCCTCTCCCTCTCCCTCTTGCTCTCCATTTTTTTTTTTCTTTTTTTTTTCTAATAACGGATGCATGCTTTCGCTGGTGGTGTGGAGGTAAACGGTGGTGGTGAAATTTGTAAAAATTACAAAAGTGAATCAAACAACTTCCAATTCGCGACCTCAATCGGGTCTAGCGACTTTCAATTAACCAGATGTCAGTGAAAATCGAAGTTATTTGCTTCGATGAATTCTCTGTCGATTCTATCTTTGTTCGATCTTTTGATAGCTTCCAATTTGTAATCTCAATAGTCTGATGATTTTTAAATAATCAAATTTCGGTGGTGATAATGAAGAATATCTGATTCGGAGAGGTCTATGTGGCTTTTCTATTTTGCTTGGTTTTCACTATTTGTTTTTTTGATGAGTACCGTTTAGAATGGTAACTGGAAACATTATTTTAGGATGTATGTTTATTAGAATTTATTTTATATAATATTTATTAGAGGTGTGTTTGAGTCACATTATTTTGGAAGAATGTATTTTGGAATAGTAGATTGATAAAGAATGTGTGGTTGAAAAAAAAAGTTATTGATGTGATGGAAAATATCATTTTATTGAAGAACGTCTTGTCAAAAATGAGTAGAGGAATGAGAATGCAAATTTTAATGTGACTCAAACATATTATAATTATCACCTGAATTTTGAATTTTTAAGGTTTGCTTTTTTAAAAATGAAATGGGATGAAGTAATGGCCTAACTTATGTATTGCTCCCTTATTATATTTAGAGTATCTCCATGAAACTTTCCATATATAAAATGCTCTCTATTTAAAAAACTAAGAACATTTCTAAGAGACTTTTTAACCATAAAATACTTTATATTTTAAAGAGCCGACAGTTAAATTATGCTCCAAAAAACTCATTAAGTTAACATTTTAATTAAGAGCGTTAATTTGGCTCTCCAAATTTGAGAAGCTAGTGAAGATAAATTGTAGGGAATAACAATAAATATTTTTTTAGAGTAGTAAAATTAATTGTTAAATATAAATAGTCTATTGGAATACTTAAAAAATTTTACTCTCTAAATTTATATATATTCATTGTAGAATATGCTATTTAAAAGTAGAGAATTTATTGAAGATGTTCTAATACTTAAAAATAAGCTCCAAGATACTATATTTTAACTTTTTAAAATAGAGAGTGAGTTTGCCTCTCCAAATTTATTGAGTCAATTTCAATCTCTATTCTTCATATACAATTATTGCATTTAATAATTCACGAATTTTAATGCTTTACTTCTTAAACTATTCAAGGCACATTTAGAGCTTGTTTGGTAGGGATTTTTTGGGGAAAGAATTGATTTTAAATAGTGATATGATGGGAAATGTGTGATTGAAAAAGAAGAAAAAATTATTGATGTGATGGAAAATATTATTTTATTGAAGAGTGTGTGGCTGAAAATGAGAATTGATTTATTGTAGAAAATGAGAATCCATACCAAACATGCCCTTAAATTGATTGATCATTGACATATAAAAAAAGACAATGCTACATGTATATCCTCTTTTTTACCTAATCTTTTACATACATTCACAATAGGTTGTGGGGACCACACATTTGAGAGTTTTTTATTCACGCGAACCTCGTACGCATATGAGAGGGTGTAACATTTTCGGTACACTATTTCCTGTACAAATAGAATCATCCATAAAAATATATATATTAAAGAAATATGAGAAGATGCCAATATATATTTATTGAGAAAAGTAAAATGAGGAGTCAAAATAGAGAGCATTGTTGGATTCCATAAATTTTTTGACTCGCTAAATGTATAGATATTATCTATAATGCGTAAAATGCTCTTTATAAATAAAAGAGTCTTTGAAAATGCTATTAACCTCTGTTTGGTATAAATTAAGTTGATAAAAAATTTAAATCAAAGTTAACCATTAATTTTACCCACAGATTTCATCGACTTTTATCAAAATTCGCTAACAAATTGGATTTTAATCTACACCAAACAATGGTTTAATTGAAGGAATGTATTACACAACTTCAAATTGATTAATTAATTGACTTGTACAATCAATTTGAAACTTATTTGCAATTTTCCTATCTAATTGAGTCCACAACAAAGGTGCACTTTTTATTTAGGACATCTTTAAGAACTCCAATTTGTTAGAATATATAAAGACACAATGTCTACTCTTTGCCATCGAGAGGGTTTGGTTACAATTAAAGGTTGGAATTAAGTCAAGATTCGAGGGCACAACTCCAATCTTTACATTTGCACGTTCAAATATTCGTGATTTTCCCTCTTTGATGTTTAGTCGTAAATTTTTGACACTTAATCCGATAACGAAGACATTTTCAAGGAAATTGATACGCAAATTTCGAATTTGGAACAAGAAAGTTATCTATTCAAATCAAGTAAAGTAATACACGAACACACTGGAAGAACAGGAAAAGATTGTGAGACAGATAAAGAACTGTCTTATCAGCTCCTTTTGACGGGATCAAAGTTCGAAACACCAATCACTGCACCAAGAATGACCACAAGCACCACTCCACCGGCCACAATGCTCAGCAAGAAGTTGTTCAGCGATGGAGAAGCCCCGCTGGCAGCCTCGGCCACGTCGGGAACCACCATCGAAGCTGTCAATGCACCTGCTGTCAAGCCAGTAAACATTTTTTCCTTCAGTGAAGCATTGACTTCAAATTTTGCAACAGGTTTTGTAACTGCAATGACCTTCGAGGACTTTACGGGCATCGGCTTGAGGAAAGCGTAGGCATTTGGTTGGGTATTACGGGTCACGCGGGTTAATGGCATGGCCATTGGTACAGCAGAAGTGGAAGCTGCCATTGCTATTCAGTTTTCACTCTGCAGGCAAGTTTTTTTGTGTGATGTTTGAATGAATATTATTGAGTGTTTTTGAGATGAAATGAGAGGTGGGAATTTGAGAGGATTAAATTTAGTCCCATGTGGCAACTTCTACACTTGGTATTGGTGGATAAGCTTATCTCATTGACATCACCACAACTCTACATATTATCGAAATTTCAATTGAGTCACTTAGTTTCTACTTATAGTAATTCTCTAAGTTAACATAAGTTTCGTATATGAAACAAAAATTTTACAAGACAGATTATAAATGTTTGCAAAAATTCATTAATGTACACCAGCTATAGATGGAGGCATTGTTGATCCAACATAGCTGATTTGAACTTCTTGAGGCAGAAGATGGTACGTTATACCGAGCTCCTCGAAAATCTTTTTCAGTTCGAAGACTAAATCCGATCTGCGATTGCCCCTTTCTGCAGCATTTTGGAAGTTTATGGTATGAGTAACATAAAGGGCCATTTTCATCTTGTTCACATCCTCAATCTCTTGGATCAGTAAACTATGTCCCGGACGCCAGTGTTGAGGCTTACTATCCAAGTATCTGAAGATAAGAAAAGAGTAAGAGCGATTTGAGATTAACAATGTTAGTTTAATGTACCTCTTGTTCTGATACAGTCTATCGCTAATGTGTCGCTCTTAAGACAGATTCAACTAAAAGCAGAAGATGGGATGTCAAAAGAACTATTGTCTAGAGAAGTTCAATTGATTTTAAAATATGAAAGTTCAAATCTCACATCAGAAGCGCAGCTAGGATGAAAAAAGAGAATTGAGTTCTGATGATCTTGCACAACTTAACGACATAAGGGAAACAGTTACGAACGTAGGCACTAAACAAAAGACGGTTGTTGTGGACTGGTAAGTAGTCGAACAAGATTAATGCTCACAGGACGGACCTTAGGAGAAGTCTCCTGTCCATAATATATAGCAGTAATTTTGCCAAGACTCTCAGTTTCCAGTACATCAAGCTTCATGCCAGGTTCCCTACACAAAGTAATGAACCTAATTTTCAAACTTGATCTAAAAATCCTTTTGCAATCAACATTTTTTGATAAATTTCAAAGTTCGAAGGTCAAGCAAGTTGAACATTTCTTGAATTTGACATCGTGAAAAAGCATACCATCGTCCCTCATCCCATATTTTTCACTTCGGAAAAAATATAAAAAAGTAGGAAAAAAGTGTCAACTTACGATTTTATTTTAGCTCTCAATGCTGCTATGCTCTCGACTGAAGTGGAAAAATCAACAGCAAATTCCACGGCGTCGCCCATCATCTCTGGACTGCGATTGAAATTGCTGATTGGTTTGGCTGACAAAACTGCGTTGGGATAATATACCTTTTCATTGTCCGGTTTTAGAAAGATCGTGGTCAAAATGTTCATCTCTTCAACGATCATCTGCAAATTAGGATTTCAAGAATTACAACAAGTAAAGAAAGTTAACGCGAAGAAGATGTATTAAAAGGCCTAAGAAGTTACCTGAATACCATCAATGACACAACGATCACCAACATCATACGGATGTACCACAAAAACAAATATTATTGCTTCAAATACTGTTTTTACAGTGTTACCAAACATAAAAACTACGAGTAACATCTGAGACGAAATGAACACCAAAACTCCGGTGGTTGTGACTTCCATCAAAAGTAACCAAACTATGATGATCACAACCAATATGATTCCGGAAGCAATTTTGTTTAGCTCCTCAATAGCTGTTTTCGCATCTTTCAAGGAAACGGCTAGGCATTTTCGCTCGTTATAGGCCTTTACCTGTAAGGAAAAAAAATCTCAGAACAGTTATATAGTTTTAAACTGTACTAGACACTACAATGGACAAAATTTTAACATTTCTTATCTTTTAATACTATTCGGTGTTGTCTAATCCACTTTACAAAACATGTCAACATGTAACAAAAACCTTGAAGTGGCGTACGGAGATCTTACCACCCAATTTCTGAAGGATGATTTCTTTATCCTTCTTGCTTCTACAGCTCCTTCAAAAAGTGGAAAAGCATTATCAACTTCTTCTTTTGGCATGAAACGTAAAAGATCCTCCTCGTCTATATACCTAATCCATATAGCAATTTGAATATAAGAAATTCAAGAACAATCATAAACTGGAAAACAACATAGGTTATGCAAGTATCTTACTTTTGACCATGTTTTGCAACGTTCTCGAATATTCGATTGGCTGACTCTCTTGCCTCGACCTCACTTGTAATAACTTTTTTCCCTCCCTCCTCCTCTTCCTCAACAGTCTCATCGAGTACCTCAGAAATAGTCGGCAGCCCTGTTCTCCTTATCACTCTCATTAACCCTCCCATAGTCCAAGCCGAAACTTTCCCTCGTTTCATTTTGTAAAGTTTATCCACATTAATCACTTCATCCCCCTTTTTCTCTTGTTTCCCTTTTGTCAAATTTTTGAAACTCAACTGACTACTGAAAGTAGAATTGTCGACCTCATTTTCCGTGGATGGAGGCCCCGAAAGAGCCTGAAGTATGTACTGATGAAATATCGATTCTTGAATTCTGTCGAAGTATGTCCTAACGTGAAAAGACGAAGCTAATAGTTTGATCAATAATGTCTTCACCATCCACATAATTGCACCAATAAGACTAGATGCTATACCTCTCGTGATTAAATTTATAACCTTAGTAGTTTTCCGGGATCGTTTAACCCCTCGGCTAATCAACAAACCCCATGCCAGAAGAATCAAGCCTAACCAGAAGACGACGCGAACACTCTTCTTCAAACCGAACAAGAAATAGAGAACCTTCTTTTTGAGCAAAAAGTTTCTCTCAATCAAGAACACAAGAAAATTAGTCAACCATTCAGTAAACAAACGACCACAAAAAATCTCCAATACCAGCACAGACCATCTCCATAGTTTTGAACCCAAAATAGTCGAATCTTTTAATTTGTTAACAGTCAAGCTAGTAATCAAAACAGCCATTATGCATATAAATGCAATCCATTCAATCAAAATCAGTACTTTCACTTTCTTACCATGCTTTTTCTTATCGATTTTAACATTTTCCGTCTTGTATACCTCTTCATCATCACCGTCATCGTCATCCTCTTCCCCAACTGCTGCCATTAACGGCGTCCTAGGCGTGACTGGAACCGATGTTTTCGGGCTTCTAGAATTCACTTTAACAGAAGGCGAACCTACATTTGGCGAATTTCTTTCGGAAGCCTTTCCAACGACAGTTTGAACACTTTCTTGAACCGGACTCGAGCTACTTGGATACTGAGGCTCCACGATTCTCGACTTAGGCTTAGAATATTCGGATTTTGCCAATGACCTTCGACGGAAATTAGTCCCTGAAGGTGGCTTCGCAGCAGGATCTGATATTGAACTCGGACTGATTATCGCAGGAGTCAAAGTGCTTGTGAATAAGTTCATCTGAACTCTTGACAATTCCTCGTTCGATATCGCCACCCCATTTTCTTCTGTGCTCGGCGTTTGAATCTCCACAACAACATCTAAATTCCCAGCCCTCTGCTTCAAGGACATTTCACTTTCCATCGAAGAATATCCAATCCTTAACGATTAACACACAATCTACTGCAAGAAATACTGAGAATCTTGATCAAGAAACTGATTATAAAGAATCAAAATTTGTCTCTTTTTCTTTAATCCATCAACAGTCAGCATAAGGTTATTTTGAATCTTCGGTCAAAAAAAAAAAAAAAGAAGCAGAAAGTTTTGTTTGCTTTTTCTTGGTTTTAAGTTGGTATAAACAATAGAATGGATTTTGCAGAATGTGTGAACACGAAGAGTGATTAAACAATTATTGGAGCAGGGAAGCCACGTTTTTCTTTTTTTTTTTTTATATTCAGGTATCCTAACTTACAATGACCAGGGTCCGTGCACTCTTTATACTCCTGACCCCAAGAAAGCTTTCCTCCATGGATATTATTACATCACCTAGCTGCTCCACCCAAATTGAGTATTACAACACTCAATTGCTCCATCCAAGAATCGAACTCCCCACCCTCAAATTGCAAGCTCAGCATTGCCCATCCTTTATCAACTTGAATGTGTGGATAATGCCTAAAATTAGAAGTCAACACGCTGCTGAGATTTTAGCTTAATAATTTGTATTTAAATCTATGGCGAAAGGACCACCAACTCAGCCGCCTGTACGATCATATTCTTCACATTTCCATAGATAAAATTATGCATGTTTGAAGGATACCACTATTCGCAGCAAGTAATTTTAATCAGATATTTATACTTTACTATTATTTTAATTAGATAATTATACTTTTATTTGATTTCATTTGGTAAGTACACTTTTAATTTAATTTTAATTAAGACAATTTCATTCCATTTCATTAATAAAAATTGACGATGTGCCAATTGATGACGTGAAATATGTACAACTTTAGTGAAATAAACAATGGACTTCTAGGTGACAAAATTGGATGGAGTTGCTCGATTAAAATTAAATTAAAGTGCAGTTATCCAACAGAGATAAAATTAAAGAATAATTACTCAAGTGAATAAAATTAAAGTATGATTACTTGATTGACACTAAAATAAAGTTTAGTCACTACAATTATAGTTTATGTTTGAACTTTCAATTTCTAGATTTCAATGTATCCTTATCGTGAGAAAA